ATAAAAAGTGCACCTTGATCAACTTAAATTGAATAGAATAGCTGTTCGTGCATATATATGTGTGGTTCTTTTATTTGAGTTGATATATTAAAAAGATATATAATGTTTCTAACTTGAGGAAATATATTGTTATCTTTGCATGGCAGAAAATAATGTTTAACATCTACAACCCTAATACATCAACTACTAGCTCAGAGGTCCCTTGTAGCAGCGATTTCTGTAGACAACCGGGGCAATGCTCTTCTCAAGGTACTTGTGAATATCGTGTTAAATATATCGATAATGACACTTCATCTGGAATCTTGGTGGAGGATGTATTGCATTTAATCACCGATGATGATCAAGCAAAACCTGTCAATGCTAATATTACATTTGGGTAAATAACTTCTTTTCTGCTACCCTTTTTCTTCATTACAAGTTTTTGTTTATATATTGTGATCTCATGTTACTTTCGTTAGAATCCTTTAGAATATTTTTCAACTGTTTATCAGCCGCCGATCTGATTTATAAGTATTATTATCATTTTCTTTTTCTTGCTCTTTACTGCTTTGTTGCAGCTGTGGACAAGTTGAGACTGGTTCTTCCTCGGACGGTGGAGTTCCTAATGGTCTTTTTGGGCTTGGTATGGACAACATATCGGTTCCCAGCATCCTAGCAAAAAAAAACCTTACTTCAAATTCTTTTTCTATGTGTTTTGGAGCTGATGCGGTTGGGAGAATCAGTTTTGGAGATAAAGGAAGCTCTGACCAAGGAAAAACACCATTTAATACTGGTAAATAGTAAGTGATCACTTTCTGAATTGCGTTTTTTGACTTCTTTTTTGAACAGCGACAAGCTTTACTTGACTTTGGTACTTCCATGGGTTTCTGAAATGGTTTTACTGATTCTTTTTCTGTTTTTTTTTTTTTTTTTGAAAGGCTAATTCCTTTTTCTGTTGTTAACCCCTTTTCAGTCCAACTTACAATGTCAGCATCACTCAAGTAAATGTAGGAGGAAAAGTTCAAAATCTTGAATTTAGTGCAATTTTTGACTCTGGCACCTCATTTACATACTTGAATGACCCAGCTTATACACATATCTCTGAGAGTGTAAGATTACAAACTTCGAAAAAAGTAGTCCTTGCTGTTTTCTGTATTTCATGCATCACTAAGTAATTACTTGATACCTACATTACTTGTCAGTTCAATAAGCGGGCTTCAGCCAGACGAAATACATCCAATCCTGACCTCCTCTTTGAATATTGTTACAACTTAAGGTAATCCATGTTTCCGAACAGACCAGCCATGCCATTTAGATTTTTGACTTGCAAACCTTCGGACACTAACTTCTTTACTTGGCAGGGCAAATCAAACCAACGTAACATATCCTGTAGTGAATCTGACAATGCAAGGCGGAGACACTTTTTATGTTAATAATCCAATAGTAGTACTGATCAATGAGCAGGTAATGATTCTTCTTCAACGTACGTTCTCTTAGTCCTCTCCCTTTACCGTTAGTTAAAATTGACCCTCTAAATCTACAGGGTGAAGCTGTAATATATTGTTTAGCCATCATCAAGAGTGATGATGTGAACATCATTGGACGTGAGTTTCTTTATACAATAAATTTGCTTGTAAGAACTTGCTTTTTTATTGATTGAATGACTTCTCATGGTTTAAATTTCATTTATTGTACTTCAGAAAACTT